AAATGCTTTGAAATCTAAGGAAAAGAAAATGCAAAGTGAATAAAAACAAAGAATCCTAATATGTTCAATAGGGAAACAGGAGGCAAGGCGTTACGTGAAATGAGAGCTAAATTTATAAATGAATATGTGACGTCCGTTTGGCCAAGACATCGACGTGCAATTACATTACATCATGGATAAGTAGTACAACGTGTAAATGTGGTTACAAACTACCACCTAGAGTGAACGTCGAAGCCCAGCCGCATTTGACGTTTAAACATCATTAAGTGAAAAAGTAATAAATCTCAAAAGATTTTGATATGAACATGTTACGTCGAAGAGCCTAGAACTCGACGTCAAACCTCTGAGCTTCATTACCAGTTACTTAAAAATTGAACAAACGCCAGGGTTTGCATCAAATGCAGTCCATATTCGACGTCAACTGTGTAAATAGATTCTTAATTTAAATTGTCTTGAAGTTCTTTGCACATTAGGAAATGAAATAGCTCTGAAATCTAATCTACAAAACAACTCCAAGAAAATTTATGAAAAGAATCATACATTGCTAAATGATGAAGTTTAACAACATTTTTATAAATTTATTTTAGTTCTTAAAATTGTTTCAACATTAAACATATTGTGAATCATATTTCTTTTTCCTGAGCACTTCCCTTTCAGTAAGATATCTTAACCATCTCTATACTATAAAAATCATTTTGTTGACTTGAATTTTGAAGGACACCTTCATATAAACTGAAGATGATGAATGCCCCACTTTGAAATTTAAGTGATCAAATTGCAATTTAAAGAACAAAAATGCTTCGAAATCTAAGGAAAGAAAAATGAAAAGGAATTAAAAAACATGAATCCTAATATGTTGAATAGGGAAATAGGAGGCAATGGGTTACGTGAAATGCAAGCTATATTTATTGATGAAACGATGAAGTCGAACTGGCTAAGCCATCGACATTCAATAACATTACATCATGAATAAGCAGTACAACGTGTAATTATGCCTACTAATTGCCACAATCCACCATATAGTATGAACGTCGAAGCCCAGCAAAATTCGACGTTCAAACATCATTCAGTGAAAAAGTAATAGATCTCTTTAGATTCTGATATGAACAGCTTGACGTCAAAGCCCCCTGAAATGGACGTGAAAAACGTTGTTGGTAACAACACACAATTAATGCACCTAACCACTTTAATGCCTATTACGTCGAAGCCCCAAAGATATCGACGTGTTATGGGAGTTTAAAAAGAGAAAGAACAAAGGAATTAAAAAAACAGGAACTCTTTGGCTTCTGGCTGGAGAAAAAAACGTCAAAGCCCTACAAACTTCGACATAATATTAATGCTTTGGTAACAACACACCATTAATGCTCCCAACTACTCCAATGCCCATCACGTAAAAGCCCTAGAGACTTCGACGTGCTATGGGAGGTTAAAAGGAATAAAAAAAGGAGGAAATAATGCATTCTACTACATATGCTGCATCTGGAAATAATTCTAAATCTATTTTTTATCATACTACTAAGAACAATATGGCACAACCTCCACCTCGTGAGAGGACTCTTAGGGAGATGTCTGCACCTGATTTCACATATGAAAGCTTGTGCATCCAATATCCTGATGAGGACGTGCCAGATGTTCTCAACACTAGACTAATCCATTTGTTGCCAAAGTTCCATGGTCTGGCAGGGGAGTGTCCACACAAACATATGAAGGAGTTCCATATTATTTGTTCAACAATGAAGCCTCATGATGTTCTTGAAGATCACATTTTCTTAAAGGCATTCCCGCATTCTTTAGACGGCGTGAGAAAGGATTGACTATATTACCTTGCGCCCAGGTCTATCACCAGTTGGGATGATTTGAAGAGATTGTTTTTGGAAAAGTTCTTCTCAGCATCAAGGACCATGGCCATAAGGAAAGATATTTCTGGGATTAAGCATCTCGGTGGTGAGAGCTTATATGAATACTGGGAAAGACTCAAGAAGCTTTGTGCAAGCTGCCCACACTACCAGATTTTTGATCAACTCTTGCTTGAATACTTCTATGAAGGTCTTAACAATATGGACAAGAGTATGATAAACGCTGCCAGTGGTGGAGCCCTTTTGTGACATGACACCTGCTAAAGCCAGACATTTGATAGAGAAGATGGCTTCCAACTCCCAATAGTTCAGCATGAGGAATGATGTTATTATGGTCAGGGGAGTTCATGATGTGGGTGCTGGTTCCTCATTTTCAGATAGAAAGATAGAGAGCAAGCTTGGTGCTCTTGTCAATTTGGTGACTCAACAAGCTGGAAATTAGAAGTCTGCACCTGTTGCAAGTTTATGTGGTATTTGTTCTTCTAGTGACAGTTACGCTGATGTCTACCCATATTTGCAGCAAAATTTTGGCCCTGATGCTCCTAAAGCTTATGTTGCAAACATTTACAACAACAGGCAGCAGTAGCAACCGCAATAACAGCAAAATTATGACCTTTCCAGTAATAGATACAATCTAGGATGGAGGAATCACCCTAATCTGAGATTGTCAAATGCTCCGCAGTAGCAGCATCAACTTCCACCACCATTCCAGAATCTTGATGGTCCGAGTAGACCGTTATGCCTCGACCACCAGTCCAGCAATACTAGAGGCAACAACAGCAACCTGATATGACTGCACAAACAGCTCCTCCTCAACCTTCCACTTCTCAGCCTTCATTGGAGGAGTTAGTCAAGCAGATGACTATGCAAAATATGCAGTTCCGACAAGAGACTAGAGCGTCCATCCAAGAGACCAGACCGTTCATCCAAGAGACCAGAGCATCCACCCAAGAGACCAGAGCATCCACCCAGAACTTGACAAATCAGATGGGGCAGATGGCCACACAGCTAAATCAAGCACAATCAAAATATTCAGACAGATTTCCTTCTTAGACTGTGCATAATCCTGGAAATAAAAATGTCAGTGCCATCACCTTGAGATCAGGGAAGCAAATTCAGATACCCACAGTTCCACCTCCAACACCAAGACCTCGGCCTCATACTACTAGATCTTAGAGAAAAGAGGACTATGCGGGTCCAAGCATGACATTTGTGGCAGGTGGATCTTCTTCCTCTTCGGGTGGTTCTTCTTCTTCTTCAGGTGCACTTTCTTCTTCCACCACCACCACCATCAGTGCATCTCCTGATATACAACACCGACCTATCCCTCTTCCATTTCCTCCTAAAGTAATTCAAAGTAAAAATATGGAAGAGGTGGATAAGGAGATATTTGAGACCTTCAAGTAGGTGGAGGTGAACATACCTCTACTAGATGCCATCAAGCAGATTCCAAGATATGCAAAATTCCTGAAAGAGTTGTGCACCAATAAGAGGAAGATGAAGGGAAATTAAAGAGTCAGCATGGGCAAAAATGTATCTGCACTGATAGGTAAATTTGTACCTCACATTCCTGAAAAATGCAAAGACCCAGGTACATTCTGCATCCCTTCCATTATTGGAAATCATAAATTCAACAGATGCCATACTTGATTTGGGTGATTCCATAAATGTCATGCCTCTATCAATCTTTAAATCTCTTACCCTTGGAACTTTACTACCTACAGGTGTAGTCATACAGTTAGCAAATAAGAGTGTTGCCCACCCCATTAGTTACATAGAGGTGTTGGAAAAATCGGTACCGATTTTGCGCAGCGGAAATATCAAAACAAAGTACGATATAGATTATTTAAAAGCGAAGGCTTGTTCGTTAAATTTAAAAAATGATTCCTTTAATTTTCTCTTGAATGTTTTATCAAATAGTTGATGAGTAGAAAATATAAAGAGTGTAGGAAGTAGAAATATCACACAAATGATTTTTATCCTCGTTCGAACCAAAAGATTCTACGTCCAGTCGTTAATCACTATGAATAGTGATTAACCTTTTCACTAAAACAGTTTCACAATTACAATGAAAGTGAATAGAAAATAACAGTAACAAAAACAACTCCCTTCGACAAACGAATTGGAAGAGTGCAGCAAAAACCTTGCTTCGACAGACGAACCAGAAGAGCTTCCTTCGACAAACGAACCTGAAGCAACAACTCTGCTGTTAACCCTCGGCAAGTGTAACCGAATCGTATCAAGTAATAATAAAATGGTAAGACAAAGTATCGTTTCTAAAGGACTCACGGCCTAAACAATTGTGTGGTTTCTTTATTAAATAAGACTTGAAAAACCAATTCTTTGAGATTTAAATGCAAATACTAAAAAGTAAATATGAATGCATGTATTGATCAATTGGACAAAAGAAGCAAAACATGATTGAAATATATGGAATGATGATGTTGTTGGGGTTTTCAATTCATCCTATCCATTCTCATGTATTCATGAATTCATCTTTCTTCATTAATGTTAATGTGACTTTCTAAATTACCTTAAACCCAATGTCTTGGTGAAGAAAGCCTACTCCTAATCACTAGTTTACAATGTCTTGTCTCCTTAGCAATTATTCATGCATTACATTTGCACAGAAGCTTAAAGGCACCAACCATCATATTCCTATGTCTAGGTTTATACTACTATTGGGAGAATTTCTTCATGTCTAAATATATCTATACGTGTCCATACAAATAACATCAATGATCATGCAATTTGATGAGTTAAACAAAGCATGCATAGAGTATAGAAGAAAAACCCTGACAACTAATGAAAGAAAGCATATATTATAAAGAATCAATTCAATACATGAGAGCTTCAAAGGATTACAATGGTTTCCCAACAACAATGAAGGTTTAGTTCACCACAATCATGGTGAAACTAGATGAAATATAATCAAAGAATGAAAGATAAAGCCCTAGAATTTGAAGAGTGGAGCTTGAGCATCCAAAATCCTCCTCCAATGGGTGAAGTTTCGCCTCTGTTTGCCAAAAGATGTCCAACCTAAGTCAATTAAACCCCTTTTATAATTCCTAAAAATTACACAAAATAAGCCCAAGCCCATATGATACAAGAAGGTCTAACACCATAGGACCCATCACAAGAGGAATGGCCAAAAAACTCCAAGATGAATATTCTCCTCAAGGTCAAGTACTATTTGCTATCTTTGGATGGAAAATTGGAGAACAAGAAGATATGCCAAATCTGCCAAAACATGGAGAAGGGTAAAAAGGACATTTCTATACAAAAGGGGTGTACTTATCCTTCTATGGGATTGCATGAGTAATTGTTTTTCTTCACATAAAACTTGATTTTCACGTGTTTTAGACGCTATACATGTAGCACATGGGTTCAGATCTGCCACGTGAAAGTTGAGTGCTTAGAGCCTTGAGATTAATCTATAAAATCTCATAGGAAAAGCTTGTAAATCACTTTTGGATTGTATTAAAGAATTTCTGCTGAAATGCATAGCAAATTCCTTCTCCAAGAGTCACTTCTTAGCTTGATTTCCATTGCAACTTCCTTCCACTCTAGGAAGCCTTCTGAGTTGTGAATCACCTCTCCAAGCTAGCCTCCATATCCATTCACCTTAAACTCCAAACATCCGCTGCTTCACATCCAAAACTCTTCATCAATCTG